TTCCATTTAAATTTTACAAAAAAAAAAATTTAATTAATTTCATCTCAAGTTATTTTTTTTGGCACAAAAGACTCAAACAAGGAATGAATAATGATTGTTTATTTTGAACTGATAAAAAGAACATTATTTGAAGTTTAAAATCCACCGAGAAAACTAAAAAGGAGTATGTAGATAAATTTGGATGGCAATAAAAAAAAGATGTCCTCTTACATCGTCATAACGGAATGCAAATTTAAAAAAAAAAACATTAATTCATTTGGTTGTATAAATGGAGCGTTATTAGTATTCTGTACTACCAGTACTATTTAGCTTGCCATACATTAAAAAAAGTTATAGCCATGACTTAATTCTTAAAATTTGTCTGTCAAGCAAATTGTACGAACAGTGAAAGGTCAATCATCTATACCATTTGTGATCATGGGTGGTTTATAATGAAATAGTTTGAACTGTCAAACAAACATACAAAAGTGTAAAAAATCCTTTCAGCATTACAAATAATACAAGGAACATTTCTGAAACAAAACAAAAAAGATGAATAAAAAACAAGTTAGAACACAGAAAGTTTATATTTTCAAGGTTTTAGCTAAGCTTTTCCTCTCCACAAAAAAGTGACTAAAATACATAAACATTTAGATCTCGTATTTATTCATTCTTTGAAACATCTAGTATCAAGTTAGTTATACATCAAAGTCAAAACAAACACTGTATTATTGCAAGCAATATTTAAAACAGCACAGGGGGGTGGAGAATATTTCTACTCATAAAATTAGTTGTTTTTTTCATTTGCTTTAACCCAGTGAAATGATATGAATATGAATAAAATCTCTGCTGGTTTTTAAATGCAATTATACATTTTTAAACATCAAATACCTTCAAGATGGAAATAAATTATCTTTTATCTTGAATTAACATAGAATAATAAATTATATATTAATTATGCAGATATCAAAGGATCATATTATGTTTTGTCCAGGTTAGAGCCCAGGTTCCCAACCTCCTTGAACTCAAAACCCACTTTTCTGATACTTAAATGGCTTGCCAACACCTATTAACTAACTTTGTATTAAAGTCATATCTTTTTTTTTAATAAGTATTTCAGTTAGTGAATTATATTCAACTATTTGATAGAGAAATAAAACAAAGCTACAATTTTGTATACAGCCACGTCTAAAGGGACATTTTAATCTTTCAATATTAGTTGGAAATTTGATGTAACAATTTATTTAATGAAATTTAAAATTCAGCAATGAAAAGAAGATGGTGGCATCCCTTCTGGTTAATTTTAGTGTGCTTAGCAACTGTGCAGCCATAAGTACAAAATTATCTTCAATTAAAATAATGCAGATAAATTGATTTTTTTTCTTTCTGTAAATATTGTTCTTGTTTTATGAATGCTTCAGTCAGTGAAAGCCAAAGAAATAAATCACAATGGTTAGGAATTACTGCTTTAAACTATTATGTGAATTAGATTTAGTATTAAGTTACTAAAAATCAGCAATTAAAATATTGTAAAAATGACTTAGCTTTATAATTATTAATACTTTTATCTCACAAGTATAACAACAATGGAGAGATAAAGGAATGTGAACAAATTAAAATATGTACATGAATAGAAAAATAATTTTGAGAATGCAGATGAAAAGTCATATTTACAAAATGCAGCCATTTTTAAAGCTTCTTTGCTTTTTTAATTAAGGGACTAAGAATTCATATGTACCGTATTCAAATAAAATATTAATTAAATTCAAAAATTATACAAAAGAAATGGTAATGGAATAAAACAATTTTAAAAATACCAATGTTTTGTTATGAAAACTGAACAGTGGAAAATGGAAAGTTATACCAGGTTTTATAAAGCAAAGAATTGTAAATTATGAGATGAGAATGTTACATAAAATAACAAAATATATTATTTTCAACTTTTTTTGAAATTTAAAAAATTTAATTACATCACTTAAAAACAAAATTTGAAAATCACAGATGAATGAAAATATTAACTAGACAAACTAAGAAAGACATAAAAATGTATGTAAATATAGCATGATTTTGTGATATTATTAAATTTACAAATTTTTTGCAAGTCCTTTTAGAACTCATCAATTCCTGTTCCCCTGTAAATAATGTTAATAGCGAGGGTGCTTAAAAATATGAAAAAGCCAGATCAATGAAAACATCAGATCATTGTACTCTCTAAAAAAATGTTTTTAATTATTGATTTTGTCATGGCCCAAGTTTTTACATTAGAAACATCTAAAACAATGTAAAATGACAGCATTAATATAACATTTTTATGAACACATTTCAAAAGTATTAAAATTATCATAAATTTGTTATTATGGAGAGTTAAATTACATATCCTATACATAACACATTGGGAATAAAAGCTGATTTGAATATCTTTAGATTCTTTTTATGAGGAGAAATATTGAGATTTTAATCTGTTAAACATTCATTTTTGCTTTCCTTTCTTTCACACACAAAATAATAGAAATAGCTAAAAATTATTGATTTGTCATATTTAGTGCATCAATATTAATGGTATAGTCTATTACCTCATGCCTACCAACCCCCAGTTCCTGGTACCCTCGCTGAGTAGCCCTTGCAACCAGTGAAATATCCTATTCAATAACAGGTACAGAGACATTGTGAATCCCCTCTACATAAAAAGGAGCCAGAATGTTCAATACATTGATCGTGGGCCTTCAAGATGAAGAAGAAGAAAAGTGTCAAATTTTGGACTCAGCATGGGCCTCTGAAACTCAAGTATCACATTTGATTTAAATCAAATAACAGTGAAAACTGCAAACAAGGGTAAAATATTTGAAAGTCATTATCAAACATGTGGTTTTCTGGGAACTATAAACAAGTGCTTTCTGGTAACCACCCAGATTGTCAAATCAAAGTGTAGCAAGACAAAAATATTTTTCCAGAACCTAGATGCTATATACTTTAGTGTATAATGAGGACATAAAAAGTTTTAAAACTAAAACAATCAAGAAATTAACCATTAGTATAACCTAAATAAAAACAAATATCTAAACTGTTATTAACTGACATTTTACATGCAAAACTTTTCCATATTTATGGAATAATAAAGAAATTTTGGCTATATTTTTAAAGAGAGTACCTGGTAATAGAGAGCATGAACGAGCATATACGATAGTTTTAATAATTTCTTTGCACACATAGACATGTTTTTAAATGTGTTTACTAAAGTGAAAAGACAGAATATTTTTACTGAATTTTAAAAAAGATGAAAGAGCTTTAAAAAATTATGGATTTTTTATAGATTTGTACTGATCAGAAAACCAATGAGCCGTCTCCATTCCCCATTTAAGTAAAATTAATTTCCTGCTAATATTATTTAGAAGTCTAAATTTTGCATTGTTACAATATTCATGCTTATTAGTGAAAGTGAGATTTCTCTGCTCCCTTTTTTATTTCTGTATACATTGATAAATATGTAATCATTCATATCCAACAATATTAATATTGTTTTTGCTACACCAACCCATAAAAAAAGTACTGTTCCTAAACTCAAAATTTTGACTATGAAGGGGTACAAAGAATGATTGAAATGGAACTAACATTTTAAGTGAAATATAATAATTATTATCCCTGTGGAAAGCATAATTTTTAATTATCAATTTTTTAAAACATTTATGTAACATGAGCATGTCAAAGTAACACTTATAAGGCTAGTCATGCAAATACTGATAGACATATAGCTGTTTAGTACAAATGAAGATGTCACCAACGCATGGACATGAAGGAAGGCCACATCATGACTCAAACAAATTTCTAGAAAACTCAATGATAAAATTAACAAAGATGATTTAAAATTAATGCACTAAATGAATTTAAAAATTTAGCTGATATGAAAAATGTATGATTATCATATTTTGCTTAAATTTATTTTTAAAAATTGAAGTTTAAGAAGTTTCCACAAAATTTATTATATATAGCTGGGGCTTTACGCTAAGATTCCTGTTGCTAGTATTGACTAACGAATGATCTCTTTAGAAAAATAGAAATTAAAATGTCACTGATCTGAACTATAAGATTCTAACCAAAGGAAAATCTCACATGAGCTACAGACTGCTAAGAATCAACCTTCTGCAAATAAATACCAGTAACTAATCCTAGCCATTATTTGTTTTAAGTCAGACAAAGTTAATGAAAACTAACATTGAAAATAAAGAGGGTGACAGATGCAGACAAATAAAAATGTGCCCTTTTACTGTATATTCACGGGCATATTTCCAACAAAACAAATTAGACCTCCTTTTCAAATCTAAGTCTCAGGTCGACTACTGAACACAGTGGTAATATTGCACTTTCAAAATATATTTACAGATAAGCTGTAAGTTTTAGACTAATTAAGCAGTGCACTCTGAAAATGCTATGTCAAATGTCTTCTCCTCCAAAACGAATACATTTTGCTAAGGAATTTAGTCAAACAGTAAATCCAGCTAGCTTCTATATAGAAAAATTTTTAAAGGAAATATTACTAACGACATTTTAACCTAGCTATTCAATTTCCACCACTCTACCAGCTTTTTTCTTTCTCATGCACAAAATAAAAAAAACATGGTGTTAGTCAATTACCTCACAATCAATCATTTATAATCATTTAAACTTTAGAAATCTGGTACAGCAGTAATAACTACTTTAAAATAAATACATATATTACATTTCAAATAAGGTTTAGTATATTATTCCTTTCTTATAATAATTTCTGTCACCAAGACAAATGGTACTTTTAAAAACAATACAGCTGTTTGAAATTTATATATGAGTAATTATATGCTAATTATGTAATTGTATGCTAATTAAGTTATTTTTCTATAGCACATTGTCTCACTGCTGAATATGAAAGAATATAATATTTTAAAACTGAAATACCCCAAGCAACATAAAAATAAGGAATGTGGGAGACAAGAAGGAAACAGTTTCATTATTGTATTAAGCCTTAAAAAATGTATTTTTTAAAAAATTGGATGATTAAATAAATACTTGCCTACTCTGGATTTCATTTGATGTAAGATCAGAAGAAAATGTACAGCTCTGAGCCATTAGTTATAGTTCAAACTCAAATAAAATAATGACAATGTATATCTAAATTAGCTTTGTCAGAACTAATTGCAACTCAGCAGACATGAATGGATATTAATTAATTTATCTTAACAAATGTTGCAGAATCTGCTCAGTGGAGATGACAAAAGTCAGTATCAGTTAAATTTTCCCCTTTACCATAAATTTTTACATGCATGCTCCTTTTGATAACAATTAATTTCTTCAGGGAAAATAAATAATTCTAAGATAAAGTTAAATACAGCTACTGAATCAAACAGGTTCTCGGAAGATTACAGCAAGAACATCTCTCATTTAAGGGCCTCGGAGGTATAAGATCAAGATCTTCATCATCAGGCTCAAGGTCTAGGTTATATCCATCTTTGATTAACTGTTCTGTTATCTCTTTGTGTGCTGCTTTAGGTAACCTTGGTAAATCAAACTCATCCTCTTCACTACAATAAAGCAAAATAACAAGTGCATATCAAACTCATAAAAAGGTTTAGATAATTTAAACATTCAGAATATTGATTCTATAAGTTCTTCTCATAAATGCCTCTTTTATTATTATAATGCTACCGTACTCTAAAATAACCAGTTAATGAACAACATAATGTGATTCAAAAAACACCATTAGTAGAAATGAATTTAAAGTTCCAAAAAGCCCATGTTTAACTCTCAAAAGACGGGAGATTGAAAAATCGGTCATATATGGCGGGTGAAAAAAAGGACCCCTAATATTACTAATATATATATAAAAATAATATTAAAAGGCGAAAATAAAGATTTACTATTTTGGAATGTTAAATTTCTATTTGGCAAGAAAGAAAAATCGTTTATTTTACTAGTTCTTGAAGAAATCTGGTAGCAACTTGTCCATTCATAAATTTTCCTTTTCGCCATTTACTCAAATTTTGCCACAATTCCGGTTCACTGTTACTACACTCTAAAACATTGCTATGGAATCTGATTCTGATTATAAGCTTGAAATGGACAACTATTCTTACTTAGAGGAATATTTTTGATGAAGATAGCACTTCAGATGTGTCTGATACCGAGAATTGTGTAAATTATCATCATAATAATAGCATCCAAGGTTTGTTTACTTTTTTCATTCATACTCAACTCACGCATACTGTGATACTTCTTAGCACTATTATTAGCCCTAACATTAGTTTTATTCAAGTTCCAGTAGTATAAAATTCTTAAATAGATTAAATTATTTATTTGTTTGAAACTAATTTGTAGTTATACAATTATTTTAATATTATTACGTTTCAGTTAGCAAAATGTAAACAATGGTTCTCAAGGCCAAGGCTATTATTACACTGTAACAATCAGCTGTGTTCCCTTTTCAATGAAAACTTGAAGTAAAAGTAATTTAGGCAGATTGTTTATTATTTTGAATTCTTTTTATTTATATTGTAATTTTTTTATTTTAGCTAAACTAATTTTTTTTTTAATATTTTGACAGCATCTATGAAGGGCAGATGTCAAACATAGTCAATACAATGGGTTATGATGACAAAAGACTGTGGGACTCTTTGCTGCATTTAGACCAGAGGTGAAAAGCACTATTGCTTCCTGATGTTATAACAAGAGAGGATATAAGGAGATTTTAAAAGCAAATTGACATTTTCAACCTCTACTTTACTACAGATTTGGTTGGTTATTAGTAAGCCTTGTGCGCAGGACAATGGACCGCAGAACTTTTGTGTTTTCAAAAATTGGTACCATTATAACATCATTGAAGGGGAGTTTTATCTACTAAGTGGATTTATTATGAATGCAGGACTTATCAAGCTCTTAATTTTACAAGAAATGTCCAGGAAATCCTTTTATGATGGACAATGAGCAAGGCCATTAGTACTAAGGACATATTCAAGGCTATATTGAGTTTCCTAAAAGTTTCTGATACTGAAAATAAAGGAAACATGCTGTGCAAAATTGGGAGACACTTCTGTATCTCAATGCAAAATACAATCAACTGTATCAGCATCAAGAAAATGTAGCAATTAATGAACAATTTAGGGAACAATTGACATATTTGATGATAAACCTGATACTGTAAAGCCCGAAATCTTTACATCGTGCGCCGCAACATGACAATGATTGACAATAACAAAAAATGTAATTGTGGGTTACCAAAACAGGGTAAAATGGTCAGAGCATATGTCACAGGCTTTCTTTTTGATACATTTTTATGTTTTAATAAATAAAGAAATTGTTTTCAAGAATTTTTATGCATGGTCTTGGCGAAGGATTATATCCTTTGATCGGTATCTCGGGGATGCATAAAAAATGTTTATTTATTGAAATGTGCCTTTTTTCTTAACTTTTCTTCTCAAATAATACTTACTAATAACCCTCTAAAGGATAATATGATGCAGTATATGTTTATCTTTGAAAAAAAATTATTATTATTTTTAAAAAATAATTTTGACTTTTTGAGCAATATTTCCTTGAATGATCTGTTGCCTACAAATAGTCATAACTTTTTTATTTATGAGTCTATTCTTTTGAAATTTGAATATGTTTTATAGTATTGAACACATTCTAATAAATTATCAATTTTATTGATTTAATTGGAAACACTTTTTTTTTTCCTTCTTTGTAAAACTGTGATGTTATGTTTTTGTCGACTTAAAAAATTTTTTTTTTTGCCTAAAAATAATAAAACATCAAATTTAGCAAGGATATTTTGAACAAACACCAAGTACCAATTAAAGAGCATCCAATTACCTTTAAAATGATATATAATACTTGGAGGTAGCTACAAAATTACAGTCATGAGACACTTTGAAGAATAAGATATATTCAAGGTCATTAAAAAATTGAAAAATCTAGTCTTTTGAGAGTTAATGGAAAGATTAGATGCTAAGCGTTTTCATTAAGCTGGTTTAATAAATGTAATAATGTATTTGAATAACAATAATATTTTTTAGATAATGTTAAAAAATCTGATTGCTGATACCCTCACCCACCTTTCATCTGACATAATTGCTACAAGAGGTTGATGATCAGTTGATGAACTTGCCATGTTAATATCTTTTTGTGTGACTCTGCTGTAGTTTATTGGAACTGTAAGTCTAAGTGGAAAGATGAGAAGGAACATTTTTTAATGAGGAGAAATTGAATTTTATAGTTGAATTTATTAGTTATAATTAAGATTAAAAACAAAATTTTATTTTACATTTATTATACATTTAATAAATAATAAAAACCTTGATCTGGAAACAATGCTGGATTTTTTTTGCTGCTGTTCAGAGACTGATGCTGCTAAAGACCTTCTTGCCAGATCCCTCTGACGTTCTAAATTCAAGAGAACAAAATCCATTATTTCAATTATAAAAAAAAAAGAACAATTTTTTCATTATTATGTACTCTCCTAGACAGGAAGTGTTGAGTCCCTTTTTTTTTCACTTAGCTATTCGTTTTACTGCAAAACTTGTCAGAATCACTCAGTGTAAACTACAATCACATGCAATGACTTCATTAAAAAAATAGTTTATGTTAACATGGATTCTGGTACCTATTTTCTTTTGTAATTCAGATGTTTTTTTCAATGCTTTGTAACTGGATGACTTCATTGATGACTGAACTGGTTGATAACCATTCTGAAAAAAATAAATAAATGCAACACATAATTCACAAATAGAATTTTTTTTTTTAAATATGTTACGGTTGGGATATGAGACTGTTTGTTTTTTTAAACATTACCCATTGAACTTTGAAATTTCCTTTCATTTAATTTCAAGATTACTACTATTAACTCCTGTGCATTATTACATTGTTATTATTATTAATTATAACTTAACATGTGTAATAACTTAAAATACCTGATCATATTTCTAAAAACCTTCAATTCCAGTACCAACGGATTTTTTTAAAATGTTTATTAACAGTACCATGTATGATCATTTTTAAGATTATTAAATAGTCATTATTTTTTTCTCAACTCTTAATAACTCTTACTAAGAAAGACTAAAGGATGCAGTCTATCCTAGTTTTAAAAAAAGTATGTCTTATCGTAGGGAGAATGAAAATTGATAATTTATCTATCTACTTTTGATCAAAGGATGAGTAAGTGTTGTGTATTTTTGGAAAAGGTCTCAGCAGGTAATTCGATAAAAAAAAATTTAAATTCTAAAAAAATTATAAAAATATGAGGTTGTGTAGAGCAAACTTCAAATTTTAAAAAATGAAACCAGAATCAGCATTCTGGTCATAGTACTTTTTGAGCTACGAATGATTAAAGTGCGAGTTTGTTTGTAATTTTTTTCTATGGACTGCACCTCCACATATTGCGCAATAACTCTTGTTTAAATTATAATTTTATACAACTTTTATTTACTGTTAAAAGTTGTAATTTTAATATTTAATTAATTTTAACGCAATTATAATTAAATTGTAAATTAACTACCTATGTAATATGCATTATCAGTAAATTTAATAATTACAATATGGATGTTCTGTTTACCAAGTCTAGCATGGTAATATATTATATATTATAATATAATATTACCATTATATATATTATGGTCTATGCAAGGCAAGGCAGCCCCCTAAATATAATACTGGGTGGGACTACTTATTTTATTATGAACTTTCAACTTTTGCACATGACTAATTAATTAAAGCTTTCTCTAACCAATAATTATAAAAGTTTTTGCACGCAGCAATCTCTTATAAATGAAACTATGATGATAATACTATAGTAGTATAAGCAGATTCAAATGACTGAATGGTTTCCCATGATAACAATTTGCACACAGAAATTATGATAACTTTCAGTATTAGTATGGAAATTGTCCCACTTGTAGATCAATAGACATAATAAAGAGTGAAAAGGAAAAATATTTAATTCGACTTAATCTTAATGATGTAAGTTGCCTTATATTTACAAAAGTTTTTCTCAAAGTTGACTGATTGTAATAAAAAAGAAATAAATTGAAATGTAGGCAAAGATGCCCTCCAAAGCAAAAGGACGGAAAAAGAACACAATTGTGGTATATAATAATGCGGCTAATTTACATTCAACATGCCAATTTTAGTATGTTTTTAGGATTCTCTCACTTCTCTTTATTCTTTGATATTAATACGCCTTTGGAATGTTGTAAATTAATATATAATTGGGTGGTTTGTTCTAATATTTAAAATGAAGTTAAATATTTCCGGCATCATAGAATGGCTAAAGATTTTTCTGACTACTTTTGGATTTTATTTTTGGTGAAACCCGCAATGAAATGTGTAAAAGTGCATTTGTTGAAATTTTAAGTTGGGTTTTTCATTATTTTAAAAACATTTTGTATTGTTTTTCTTAAATTTTACACTTTTCTCAACACAGTGTGTAACATTAGCAGAGCTTTGTTTCTATGTTCTATAAGTTCTTTGCATTCTGTGTCATACCATCCTGTTCTTTAAACCGGTAGTGAAAAGAACAGGATGTGTGACACAGAATGCAAAGATTTTATAGAACACAGAAACAAAGCTCGGCTAATGATGCTGCAAAAGGGAGACAAGAAGAACACAGCAATTATATGAAGCAAGAAGGGTGGCCAGCAAAATTTGCATAAAGAAAAAACGTGTCTGGGAAAAATAAAAAATAGTAGAGATAGGAGAGTTGGCAAAAGAAAGAGATGTGAGGGGAAAGTACCTGAAGATAAAGCAGGAAAAGAATGGCTTTCAAGCAAGATCCCACATGTAAAAATACGGTTGGAGGATTGATCACAGAGAGCAGTAGAGTACTAGAGAAAGCCGCTCCTAGGCTACCGTTTTCATCCCCGCTTATGTCCCGACCGGACAACTCCCTGGACAGTGGGGGGAGGTAATGCAACACCTTTCTCCCAGAGAGAAAGCAAAGCCGTTCAGACCCAAGGAGAGAGGACCACGAATGTTATAAATGCAGCGTTTTCAGTCGTCGGGAGGTCCCCCAAGCCAGGTGGGAGGTTCCTGGCGTACTTCCGCACAGTCTGGCGGTGGGGATACTCGGCGTTGTCCCGTACTAGAGAGATGGGCATAACACTTTGAAGGCTTACCGAATTGCTCAGGTGGAGGAACCAATGAGGATTACGCTACACCACAAGGAGGACCGGACCCACTGGTCAACCAACCAACTTTAAAGGAAATAAAAGATGTAATCTCCACCATGTTTACTCGGCTCATACATATGACAATGGCCAACTCCAAAAGTAGAATCAAGGTGCAGGGAGAATACTCAAGGGAGTTTCCAGTTAATCGGAACCTCAGACAAGGAGACTCACCATCATGTATCCTGTTTAACATCATGCTAAAAAAAGTTATTAAAAGCATACACGAGAGCACCAGTAGAACCATAACAAACTACTTCCAATGAGGTATTACAGAACAAGAACCATCAGGAACCTTATAAATCCAACCATTGCAGTACCTTGCATATGCAGACGATATAGCGCTACTTGGTAGAAACCGTAATGACATAATTAAAGCATTCAGTCAACTTGAAAATACCTCAGTGACAGCTGGTCTTGATATAAATGAACCGAAGACAAAATATATGATAATGTCCAGAAACTCCCATGCTGATGATAACATCAATACAAACAACCACAAATTTGAGAGAGTGGCTACATTCAAATATCTAGGGGCAACAATAAGAGAGCACAATGAGATAATGTCTGAGGTGAAAGAAAGGACAAAAGCCTACAAAAGCAAAAACCTCTCAAGGGGAACAAAGAAGACAATATACACCACTATCATACGACCAGTAGTAACGTACGCTAGTGAGACCTGGACCCTTACTAGAAAAGCAGAGAACATGCTCACATGGGAGAGGCAAATCCTCCGAAAAATATATATGGCCCAGTGATAGAAAATGATATCTGGAGAAGTTGTACAAACCAAGAACTTTACCATTTGTTTAAAGACCCACCCATAGTCAACAATGATAAAAAAAGGCAGACTACACTGGGCAGGACATGTTGAAAGGATGCCGGAATATAGAGCAGCAAAAGTTATATAAGGCAGAAGCTTAGGAGCCGATGACTCCACGATCACCCAAGGCTGAGATGGATATATGATGTGGAGATGGATATACACCAGTTGGGGGTTCGCGCATGGAGGTGTAAAGCCATGGATCGCTCTGAATGGAAGGATGTGGTGAAGCAGGCCAGGGCCCAACATGGGCTGTAGTGCCACTGATGATGATAATGTGTAATTGTAGCATGAGTGTTTGAGTTGAGGAAAGGGAGCGACCGCAGGTCATGACACTTCTTGCTGGATATCTAGAGGAATATAATAACATTGCTACATTGCCACGATATCCGTGTACCAGCTGAAATTACGCAAGGCTACAGGACAGTGTGCAACTGTAGCACATGTGTTTTATTTGAGGGAAGTGAGCCATGGCAGGTTGTAGATCATTCTTGTCGCATATCTAGAGTGATTCAAAAAAATTTCTATGTTTGCCATACAATTAATATAGCAGCTGAAATTACACTAGGAAATTGGGTGATTGAAGGTATTTGGGGAAAAAAATAGTTGATTAAATTTTAACGTTTTGTTTCTATTTTTGTTTCTTTCTGTAAGTAGTTAAAACAGCAAATTCTCTGTTTGCATTCTCTGTGTTTGCATGACAATTTTTTTTGTACACTGCCGCCATCTTGTTGCCATGACACATCATGGCAACTAAGAAGGCAACCGTGGGAAATGAGTGGCACACTAAACATAAATTTACCAATAATTCTTTTGTAAATATAAATGAAATTGAATTAGCACCAGCGTTAAAAAAATGTTAAACTCTGATTTTTGTGCGCTGCTACCCATTCCCAATACATATTTTTAGTAGTCTCCCTTGCTTCACTGAAGTGCTTTGTATCAGTATCTCTCATCTAGTAACTAGCTTCCCTAAAAATTAAAAAAACGACTAATTAAATTATATCAGAACAGTCTGACACTGTCTCAATATTGTCTCATGGCCTTTGCTTGAATGGAGTCTGCAGGCAGAAGCCTTGAGAAGCCTTACTCAGTACTGAAAAATGAAACTTGAGTTGTGTTTAGTTTGGTGTAATTTGTGAGTGCTGGGACAACAGTAACAGTCAGACAACATGAACTACAGGACAGGTGAAGTTTTACTTTAAAAAATACTAAAAACATTAACTATTACCATGAATCCAGTATGAAAACCTAGTAATACTAAAAATATTAGTAATATCAATACTAATACTATAGATACTTCGATAAAACAAGGGAGACTACTACTTTTTTTGTATCGGAAATGGGCGTCGGCGTCGAAAAATCCGAGTTTTTAATTTTCCGATGTGTGTGTCTATTTATTATTAAATTAGTTCTTTGGACATATATTTGAGTTCCGTTTCCGGCCTTATAAATTGGAAGACATCTTGGCCTACATTTCCATCCAACTATTTTGCTTTTTTCAATCGAACTTCATTTTGAAAATCTTTGGTATATATAAGGCATCTTCGAATACAAAATTTTTTGTGAAATAAAAGGAACATGTCTTTCATATTAAATCGTGTAAGGCATCAGATATTGATATATATCTGTGCCAATTCTCATTGATGTAGGTCGTGTCCCACATTCGCTACGCTTCTCCCAGTGACCCATATCACCATAAGGGGGCTCCGCCTTATTTCGACATGGCGTGGGCCACGCCCCCTTTTTAATGGCGGAAGTTGCCGATACTTAAGAAATATTTAATTATTACCACTATATACATCAAAATATTTGATAACTTGTGTTTCAGAATGCATTTTGAAGACATTTAAACTGGAATGTTTTAATTTGAGCTTTAAAAACCCTGTAGAAAGAGTCCATATTATAAATGATCAGAAATTTCCGTGTGCAACACGTTGTCATTGGCAACCATTCACAGCCACTTGCATAACGGCTATATCGTAGTACTATCTCAGAGTTTCATTCATAAGTGTTTGCCATGTGCAAAAACTATTAAACCATTGGTCAGGGAAAGCTTTAATTAATTATTCATGTGCCAAAGTTGAAAGTTTAAAATAAATCGACCCTAAACAGTATTATAGTGATAAGGGAATGCCTTAGCCTTATATAAACTATATAGTCATTGCGCATGACGCGATCGGCGGAATGAGGTCACAGAATGTGGAGATGCAGTCCATGTTAAAAAAGGACAAACCAAGTCGTACTTTAAAAATTCATAACTTTAAAACTACAACAGCTAAAAATATGATTTTGGTGTTATAATTCTGTTTAAAATTAGCTCTATTCAACTGTGCCATTGGTTTATTTTTAAAAAATGTTAACATTTTTGACCAAAGTATCTATAATACTAATAATTAGTAATTATAATTATAGTAACTACCATAGTTTGTTTTATTGCTAATATTATATATAGAATAAGGCATGTGGTCCAAATAGTCTTACATGAGATTTTTGATCGCTATCTATGCCACTGTCTTCCATGCTTTCCATTCGTGAAGGGAACTCAGTTACAGGATTGTTGATGTTGACATTATTAAATCATCGCAATGGGCAGATAAATGAGTGGAGGCTATTTGGTCAACCTTCTTGCCGAGATCCTAAATCACCCCGAGATGACAATCAATACCTTTTACCAATAAATAAATTGGCGTTATAGACACATAAGTGTCATAAGTACTGTTTTATTCTCTTATAATTAGTCATCAATATTGTTTTTAGAGTAGTATTTTGTTAAAATAATTATTATAGTGACAGAAAAATGGGTCCAAAACTCTTTCATCCTAACTCTAAGCTAGATCAATTAATGTGATCCGATTTAAATATAATATACATAAACAAATTACGGGGTGGGGATCCAGTGGGGGGTGTATTGCGTGCGGTGACGGAAGTACGTTTTTGAAGGCCAGACACAAAAAGAAAAAAAAAAACACTAAAAACATTAATAATAATTAGGCTTTCTAGCCTCTAAGAAACATATAAGGTACATAACCTCTACAACGATAAAAATATAGACTTATATCTACATAACCTCTACAACGATAAAAATATAGACTTATATCTAGTTAGTTATAAATTATAAAGTTGGGAGGGCGGCTTATACGACTAAAACCTCCAAGTAAAAATATTTATGCGCAGCGACTCACTCGCGGTCAGTTCCGTGAGGCCAAAGCAAAATTTTGTTTTAGCCTCAATCCCTCCCCACTCCTATCTCTTTAGCCCAAGTGTATTTTACCCCCACTTTCCTCTTGCTGTCCTCTCGGATACAAGTATTTATCATTTTTATTTTATATTGTTTTACTGTTGTTTATTCGCTGAAGAAGGCTTCTTGTTGATACGTTCGTTTTTGTTTTCATGCGTCCTTTTTTTCTTCATGTTTTCCCATACTTGGTTTCACTCATTTCCGTAAACTAACGATTATCTGATCTTACTGCAAACATAATCTAAAGACGGTGACATTCTTGATTTTTAAATTATTTTTAAAATTTGTATGAAGTGAGTATATTATTTTCCCCCACAGTTTAAATAAACAAACACATACACACAATTGTCACACCCTGTGAAGGGTGGATGCCAAAAGTGCCACATGGGGTTGACAACGAATTTTTGCCCCCCCCCCCCACCTTTTCAATGAAAAAAAAGCTGCAGTGGTGTGAAAATGCCATCCTCCTAAATAAAGAAACTAGTGCTGCCAAAATAACAATCACAAATAAATATTCTCTAGGTATGAATGTATGTATGCCTTCCTCTCTTTCTTTTTCTCTGTGGGTTCCATGTTAGGGATTATCTGGTGGTGCTGCCTGTGAGTTTTTGGAGAGTATGCCCTATCCACTTCTTTTCTTTATGATGTCATCATCAATGGGCACCTGGTAAGTCCTTTCTAGTAGATCTTTGTTGGTGATGGTATTTGGCCTTTTGATGTTCAGGATATTTCTGAGGCATGTGTTTATGGAGGTCTGCACTTTCAACTTAGGGCAGCAAAAATTGAGGCCGCTGAAGTAATTTGGATTCTTATAAAGTGCGTTACTTCAATGCATGTTTTGTCAAGCAACTTTTTCAGGTGAAAAGTTCGCGCATTGCTATCGCTTTTGTCTGGCGCGTCATTTCTATTACATGTATTATAGAGTGACCAAACGTCTCGTTTTTTGACGATCGTACCCGGTGTCCCGAAAAAGTCTCTCGGGACGTCTAAATGTCCCGTTTTTAGAACAAAATACATTTTCAAATCACTAAAACTTCATAATTTTTAAGATAACTTCAAGTAATATTTTGGCAAGCTGTTTAGCTAGGACCAGTAGTGATGTGGCTCGCGTGATGGCTGCACCGTTCCCCCCCTCCACCACACTGCCGACGCTGCAAAAGTATTGTTTTCGTGTATGATATACCTCAGAGTTAAAATTAAATGTAAAAAGTGAAGGTAAATTTTTAAAGATTTCAAAGTCTCAAAATATGTAAAAATTAGCATATTTAAAATTAAAAAAAAAAAAAGTTTCCGGCGGAGGCCCCCGGACTCCTCTTTAGCTGGAGGCAGAGGCGTAGCGAGAGTGTTTGGCGCCCGGGGACAACATTCGCCCCCGGGACAAGATTCATTTTAAACCTCCCCATTTTCTTTTTTCAACTCTCAAACCCATTATTTTCATCAATAAAATAATATACAAGCACATTTTTGCGCCCCTAACGAGCTAGCGCCCGGGGACATCTGCCCCCTTCGCTACGCCTCTGTTTGGAGGTTATCCCCCCCCCCCGCCCCCAAACCCTCGTTGGGTGTGTCCCGTTTTTTCCAGTTCATGATTTGGTCACCCTAATGTATTAATAATAATAATTTATTACAATTACAGGAATAAATTATGAAATTTAAGATATTTGAATGATTGAAAATTAATTTATAAGCTAACAAATAAGTAGGTACTTAAATTATTCGAATTTCTAAGCAAGATAAATAATAATAAATTAATAGTAACTTTAAATAAGCTGATAGTTATTTATACCTTAAAAATGAGTTATTGTCTGGAAAAGCCAGTGATAATTTGGAGACACTTCTACTTCTGATCATTTGTTTAAGATTAGGAAATTACTAAAAATTATAATTACATTTAAAATAAACATTTGATTCATTATTTCTTGTTAAAGATCAATTTGTTTTGTTAAATTATTTTTGGGCTACCGATTTGAAATTTGTAGTTAAAAATATAACAAGATGGCAACCAAGCTAAGTCCTTTTGTATACTGGGGCCAGTCCATTGAAAACATATCTCTTAAAGTGGACTTGAGAAACGTTGAGGTTCAGTAATCATGTTTTTTAAATACTATTCATTTGAAACTCATTATGATTTTTTAATATTTTATCAAAATATAACTTAAAAATATTTATATTCAAATCAAACAGAATAAGTGGATAGGCCTAAGTTGACAATTTGACAAATTTTAAAAAAATGAATACAAATTATAAATTACAATCAAACAGTCTGAGTTCTTCTTCTTCTATATTTTGAGGGCCCACGATCAATGAATTGAATTAATTGATCATTCTGGCTCCTATGTTTCAGACTATTCATAAAAAGTGTTGGACTGCAATAAAGCTTTAAAATAGATTAATAAGAATAAGACAAGAACAAATTTTCTCAGTCTCAATTTAACTAGGCACTTGGATACAAAATTTAAAAAAATTCAAATAATTTTTTTAATAGCACAGTTAGTTAGAGCTAATTTCAAATAAGAAAATGAAACCAGAATCAACTTGTTAGCTTAAGTACTTTTTGAGCTATGAATTTTTAAAGTGTGAGTTCGTTTGGTATTTTTTACTGTGGACGAAACCTCCACATCTTGTGACCTCATTCCGCTGATCGCGTCATGCGCAATGACTATATACTTTATATAAGGCAACGCATCGCCTTATCACTAAAATACTGTTTAGGGTCGACTTAGTTTAAACTTTCAACTTTGGCACATGAATAATTAATTAAAGCTTTCCCTGACCAATGGTATAGTAGTTTTTGCACACGGCAAACTCTTATGAATGAAACTCTGAGGTAGTACTACGATACAGCTATTATGCAAGTGGCTGTGAATGGTTGCCAATGACAACGTGTTGCACACGGTAAATTCTGATCATTTATAATATGGATTCTACCGGGTTGTTAAAGCTCAAATTAAAACATTCCAGTTTAAATGTCTTCAAAATGCATTCTGAAACACAAGTTATCAATTATTTTGATGTAGATAGTGGTAATAAATTAATATTTCCTAAGTATCGGCAACTTCCGCCATTACAAAGGGGGCGTGGCCCACCCCATGACGAAATTAGGTTGAGCGAGCTGCATGACCTGCTGCGAACGCGCAGAAACATAGCGTCTCTCGTAAGACACTTATCGCTGTGAAAATTGGCATACATGTAGATCAATAGATTCCCCAGATGCAAAAAAAATTTGGTAGTGACAAATTTTTTCCTTCGACTTAATTTTAATGATGAAAGTTGCCTTATATTTACCAAGGATTTTCTCAAAGCTGACTGATTGTAAATGAAAAAGAAATTGATTAAAATGTAGGCCAAGATGTCTACCTAATTATAAGGCCGAAAACGGAACTCAAATACACATCGAAAGTACTAATTTAATAATAAATAGACACACACATCGGAAAATTAAAAACTCGGATTTTTTGGCACCGATTGCGAAATCCCATACACAAAAAGTAGTAGTCTCCCTTGACTTACCGAAGTACCTAATTTAACAATAAAAGTTAGGCTTCAATAATAATTATACATTATACACAATTAAACGTTTCGGCACATGCCTTCATCAGTACAAACAAACAAAACACATTTAAATAAGTATAAATTCAATGCCTAAAACAGAAAAATAGCAGAGGGCCAGAGGGTGCTAAAACCAGACAAAAACAAAGTAAAGAGGAGTAGAAAGGAAGTGATTTTAACATAATTTTAAAAAGCAAACAGGAAAAAGACATGGCAGTTAGGTAAAATTGTGGATTTGGTTCATTCCATATGGAGACAACATACCAAATCTAGTTATTAATTTGTTCTCCATATAGATTCTATCTGTAGTGTTACTAGTATAGAGTATACCAGTAACTGCGATGTCTGAGATAACATCATGGTTAGGGCTATTGAAATGTTTGGAGACCGGACAGAGATCGTGTTTATTTATGTTATAGAGGTGCTCTCTGAACCGGTCCCCAAGGTGACGACCTGTCTCTCCTATGTATAATTTACAGCACTTTTTGCAAATGATGGTGTAAATCACGTTGTGACTTGTGCAGGTAAAGCCATCTTTTATTCTGAATACTTCCAGAGGGAAAGTGATCTTATCAGTTTCAATCACATAGGGACATGAGTTACAATGGCTATGGTTGCAACTCTTTGTGCCTTTATGTGCTTTAATAGCAGGGAGGTGGCTTCTAACTAGCATGTCCCTAAGGCTCTTGTCCCTCCGGAAAGCGAAAAGAGGAGGTTTTCTGAAAATCTCATTTGTGACAGGGTCTGCCATCAGAATTGAGCAGTTTTTCAGAACGAGAGAGCGAGCTTTTAGGTTGTGGGGATGAAAAGTTAAAATAAATTTAGCCCTATCACTGTTGTCAGAATGAGTAGCTTTAAAAGACTATTCAGAAGGGTTAGCGATGTAACTGTGCATGGTTTTGAAGGGGATACTTCACTGGTTGCATGGGCTACTCAGTGATGATATTATTGTATTATGAACTGGGAGTTGGATGACAGGAGGCAATAGATGCTAATGTGTCAATTGTAGTTGCTTTTGTAAACTTGTTGCAATCCCATATTGTCTTTGGTAGGATAAGGAGCTCCTGTACTAAATTCTTGTTTTTATGAGCTGGAACTGCCTGTCATGGCCTTGTCGCTGTCTCGGGGGTAGTGAAGGATTTCTGTTTAATGCTGGAGCAGTGGACCACCCCATTTTTTATCTTGTACATCATGGAGAGCCTGGATAGTCGTCGCCGTTCCTCCAATGGTGACCATCCCAGTGTTTCCAGCATGCTGCCAACACTTGAGGTGTTTCTGTAGCGTTTTAGGACAAAGCGTGCTGCCCGTTATTGGACCCCCTCCAACCTGTTGATGCTCTTCTTGGTAAATGGGTCCTAGACTGAAGATGCATACTCTAAAAGCGGCCGGACAAAGGCTTTATAGGCTTTTTCTTTCACGCTTGAGTTACCGATCTTCAGATTTCGCTTAGGGAACCCAAGGGTCTTGTTTGCCCGGTTGCACACATTGTTAATGTGCTCGTCCCAGCAGACCTTCTTTGAATTGTAACACTGAGGTACCTTACGGAAGAAACTGGCTCAAGAATATGGCCATGCAATTTGTAAGGTGGGTTTAGAGGGGATCAGCTTCTGGAGACTGACAAGGTCTGGCACTTGACGGGATGAAATTCCATGTCCCAGCTCATCTCCCACTCGGCTAACCGATGGAGGTCCTGTTGTAGCTGGTCCTGGTCAGAACTGTTGGGGATTGTCCTATTTTATAGACTGCCATGTCGTCTACATACAGTCTTGCTTGGGAGGTCATCGCCTCGGGGAGGTCATTGATATATGCTAGGAACAAACAGGGGCCTAGCACCAAGCCCTGGGGGACCCCTGACTTAACACAGACAAAGGAGGAGTTTGTGCCATCTACCACTACTGCCTGGCATCAGTGGCTGAGGAAGCTAGAGCAGTTGTTTGGAGCAAACTTCAAATAAAAGCATGAAACCAGAATCAACTTTCTAGCGTTAGTACTTTTTGAGCTATGCATTTTTAAAGTGCAGGGTTGTTTGGTATTTTTTTACTATGGACATGGTCATGGACCGCACCTCCAGATTTTGTGACCCTATTCCCTGCTGATTACCTCATGCACTCTAACTCTTGTTTAAATGATAATTTTATACAACTTTTATTTTCAGGATTACTACTAGGTATTAAAAGTTCTAGAATTAGCTTTAATTTTTAACACTATCATGCAATTATAAATGCATTTTAACTATCTAGCTATGTAACAATTACATACTATGTAATTTTATCATTAAATTTAATAAATAAAATATGAACAGATTAAGGCAAAGTGCCCCCCTAAATATGACACTGGTTTGGGACTACTTATTTTGAACTTAAACTTTTGCACATGACTAATTAATTAAATCTTTCCCTGACAAATGATTTAGATTACAGTAGTATAGTACATGCAAGTGACTGTGAATGGTTGCCCATAATAATGCACACTGCAAATTATGGTAATTTATAATTTGGACTCTACTGGGGTTTTAAACCTCGAATTCAAATATTCTTGTAATAATTGAATTGTTCATGAGTACTGGGATCTTCCGCCATTTAAAGGGGTCATGGTCGAAATTGGGCCAAGTGACCTTATGATAATGCAGGTTACTTAGATGAGTATAACTAATGGCCAACATGTCCTAACTCAATAAAAATTGGCTTTTATATAAATCACAATATATAATGCTGAGGGAGATTTAATATGAAAGATTGAACCTCTTCAAAAAATTTGTAAGGAAAGATGCCTGATATATACCTAGGAATTTCTGATATTGGGGTAGATAAAATAATAATGGAAATGTAGGCCAAATATTACTACTGCAAACGTGTGGATGAATACCACAATTTTATTACAAAATATTCATTTCATCAATGAAAAAGGACCAACGTCCTAAAATTAAAAACTGTGATTATTCTGCGCCGATTCCCATTTCCCATACAAATATTGAAGTAGTCTCCCTTGTTTTACTGAAGTGCCAATAACAAATAGTATTTATATTTATTAATAGGTATTTTGGGGACATTTACAAAATAATTTCTAAAATATAAATGAAATAAAGTTGAATAGAGCCTAATGAATCATTTACAAAGACATCAAGATCAACTTTCTAGCGCAAGTGGTTCATTTGTCAATAGTTAAGTTATGAATTTTTGGCTAATGCCTGTTTGGCACGCCACTTTGAGATCCTTTGAAGGATTCTCTCCCTTTTGCTAATTCTTGAATTGTAATTAGAGTTAACTTTTATTTTATTTAAATATTAATATGCCAATGTTGGAATGTTGTAAGTTAATATATAATTGGGCGGTTAATTATAATATTTAAAACGAGGTTAAGAGGTTAAATTTTCCCGGCATCTTGGAATGAGTATTGATTTTTCTGACAACTGTTTGATTTTATTTTTGTTGAAATATGCAATGAAGTGTTTTTGGTGAAAATGTAAGTTGGGTTTTCATTATTTTTAATATTTTAAAAATAATTTTAATCTTTGTATTCAAATTTACTATTTCTTCAGTTCAGTACACTGTGTTACTGTAGCGCACAAACATGTGGTTTCAGGGTTCACTTTAGGCATTAGGTCATAGATTTTAGGTTTGAAGATTAACGCTTAAGTTAGTGGGGACTAAATTTGTGGGTGTTGCGAATTAGATTCAGGGGTGAGAATGTTTGGTATGGAAAAGGTGTTTGGTGTAGAGAGTATTTGTGTAGCTGTTTATTTGTGCTTGGTATTTTTTGACATCTGTTGTGACATATTTGGGTATGGGAAAGGATGTTGTGAATGGTGTTATGGTTTTGGATAGCAGTGATGGATAATTGTATAATGGAGTTTTAAGAAATTTTAGGAATATGTGTGTTTCCGACAAAATTTACATTCCCTTGGATGGCTACGTGCTTCTTTGGTTTTGAGGGGCCAGAAACCACTACATAGTGCATGTGTGATGATATCTGGTGTGCAATTTCTTTTTATTCTAATCAGTCTCTTTCTGCATAACAGATCAATTTTTTTTAGATTGAAAGTCCATGATACATATGTTTTAAAAAAATAAAATGCCATTGGTTCTTTCTCCTTATTTTAAAAATAATTTTTTAGTAAAAGAACAACAAATGTAATTAAATAAATAACAAATCATAATACGTTATTAAATTAAATATATAACGTGATAATATTATGAATCTATGTCTGTTTTACAGTCATCTATGTATTTTCAGAATGTGGAGGTTACCCTTACCAAAGAGGGCTTGGACTTTAGTGCTCAAGGATTGGGGGTGAAAGGCATTAACTTATACAGCTTCCACTTAGACTTTTATTTGCCTGTAGACCCTGAGGTAAGTAATTTAAGTCATAAACTCTCTATTTAAAAAAAACACAAAAAACAGTACATTTAAAATTTTTTTAAATTAACCTACGATAATGTTTTATTGCATGCATTGATTCACAGAAAAGCAAATATAGGACTACTGATTTAGCAGTTGAGTTTCAAATAGAAAAGACAGCTGCAGAGACATGGCCCCGGTTAACAGAACAGAGAATTAAACTTCCTTGGTTAAAGATTGACTTCGACAAGTTCCCACTTGATGATGATTCTGAAGAGGAGCGCGAAGTTGATAAAATCCAGGTAACTTTATCATACTATCGACAATCTGTAATAAAAAATGAAGTCAACAAAAAAGTTTACCTATGGGAAAAACCTAAGGCTGTACACAGATAAAAGGGCCATTACTGAGTGTGAGATAATATTACTTCCAATGTAACAGTTTAAGAGACATAATACAAAAAAGTGCAATCTCAACATGATAAACAAAAACATAAAAGTTTGAGACGATGGTAAAAAATAACAAATTTTTTAAATTTAAAAAGCATATATAAATATGTTGTACATGGGCATAGCTGGAGTTTTTGGAGCCCAGGTAAAGGATTCATTTTTACGCCCCTCCCCACCTTATTCATCTCTGTAACACCCATTATCATTATTTTCATCAGATCAATCAAATACCATCACCCAATATAATGCCAAACTGCTATTAAAGAGTTAAAATCTACGGCATAATTTTATAGCGCATACGGTCACACCACACAATATAATGATATTAGACCAGCCTCAAGACACATTTAACAATATTATATTTATTAAAATATAACAATGATTATGTGAATTGTTATGATCATTCATATTATATTTATTTTCCTTGACTTTTTAGCACCCTTACTATTTCTTGAATTTTAAATCTAGATATTCATAGGTTGAGAAATTTAAGTTATGCAGAATGACATAAATTTAAAACAATGTGTTTTGGTGTTTTTGCTTTACATTCATTCTGTCAAAACAATTTTTTATTATATTTCAACAATTTAAAAAAATATTTGCCTTCTTTTTAATGCGGTACTATTGCCAAACTATTTGTTTTTCTTGCAGAATTCTGAACTCTTTAATAAAATGGCAGCTGATATGGAAGATAATAAGGAATCATCAGGTAAGGAGGAACTAAAATAATTAATTTCAAGTATATGACATGTTGTTAGATTAAAATTTAGCATTTTCATTTTAAATAGGGAGTTCTAAACTTCGGCCCATAAAGAACAGGGGTTACAGCAAGATTTTAGATGCAGAAAGGCAAGATGCAATTTTTAATAAGTGTGCTATATAGAAGGGACCATAAGAAGCATGTGAATTATAACCTTCAAGCAGCTATACTAATAATGTCTCATTGGAGATGGCATCGGTGGGTCGTCGAGCGCGAGCTCATAATACCCCCCCGGCACACCCCCCACATGGGCGGACGCCAGGTCTCCCCGCCGCCAGACCGTGCAGAAGCACGGCGGGAACCTCCCCCCTGGCCTGGGGGACGTCCGGTCGACCGAAAACGCTGCGTTTATAGCATTTGCGGTCCACTCAAGTAGCTATACATACAGTTCTATTATTATAGTACCTACTTTGAATTTTTAAAGTTTTAAACTTGGTAAATCCATTTGGGGCTTATAGGACATATAAACAGAGGCTGTTGGCCATATCTGGTTTTTAATTATTGAAACCCAGACAGAGTCAAATTTGGTCTTTGAGTATTGAAACCCCAACAGCTGCTTTGAAGTTATAAGTTTAAATCTGGTTATATTGGCACGCCTCATTCACAAACCATAGTTTGATAGAGCTACTGAATAAGAATTTTAAATAACTTTTCATTAATAGATATTCTATTTGTAACTGCATTTATGTAACATTTTATATGTGGCTGGGTGCCATCTCTGGGGCAAAGAAGCACGCTCCTGAGGTACGATTGTTTACCCCAGGCATGTTCACACCCACTGAGCTGGGCATGCCTGTCCCACGGGGGACGGGTGAGCAGCTCATGACGTAGACATCATAGTAGCTACATAAGGCAAGGGGGATTTAAACCTGGGCCCTTTCTAAACGAGTAGTCAGATGTGTCTGTTACTGAATGTACATGAATATTTTGTGTTAAACGGTTACTTCGAGTCGGCTGCATATGTGAGAGATTTGACTGTCTGTTCAATGGCTTGTACCACAAAAATAAAAGCTATAGCTCTTAGACCTGCATTTCATTGTTTGTGTATTTTAACTGTAAGCCACGCCACCAGCAGGGCTACACTATTAAGAAAAACAAGTAACTTTATAATATTTATTAGCTTTCTCTCTTGTCATATGTGATTGCTAATAGCAATCTTAACATAAAAAATGTCTCATGCTTATGATGATTTCCTACCTAGGTCGGCGTTGATTAGTATTTTCTTTTATCTGTCTCTCTTATGCCTTGGGAATTCAATGATGGTTTCTTTTTCCATTTTTTAAGAACCATGTATTTCTGTAAAAAAAGATATCAGTATTGCTTGCTTGCAAGCCACATGAAAGGTGTGGGGCCAATATTTGTCCATGGTTGATTTAAAAGAATTTTTCTTGCTCTTTTTATGTAATGGTCTTACTTTAAGGAAATCTATCTTACATTATTTTTAAACTTTTGTTTCAGAGATGCCTTCTCCATCACAAACATATTTATTTATATACAACTTGTTCCAATTTGTTGGATATTCATATGTCTTCATAAATCTTGTCTACAACTATGTCAAATATGGTGACTGTGAGTATTTAAAAAAAATATCTTTCATATTTGAAACTTAAAAATATATTACTATTTTCATAATCATCTAAACCAAACCAATTAAAATATTTAGTTAATTTACATTTTTTTTTCTCTTAGAGTAAAAGTCTTAATTTTTTAAAGCTTTTTTTTTTAACCTTCTTTTTATTTTCTTTGCAGCTGCAAAGCAAGCAGCCTTTGAAGGTACAGGAACTCAGTTAATGATATGCCAAGCTATCTCTGTTTTGGAAATTTTGCATTCACTGTTTGGCTTGGTTAAATCAAACATATTGGTATCTCTTCTTCAGGTACTATGCTGACATTGAAAGTTATCTCATTAGATTATAATTGTGAAAATATTTATGGTATTAGAAACATTTTTTAACTGCTAGTGAGTGGCACTGTCAGTAAGGCAAAGGCTGACGATGTAAGATTTAAAACCCAGCACTACTGTCGAATTACGTGATGTAGTTCTGCTGGGTCATGTCATGATGTTTGGGTATTATGTGAGTGGACAAGGGTATTTTTTACTTTTATATTTTTCCTTTAGCATGATTTGAACGCAGTCATGTTCGACCATGGCTGAGTGTTGATTAAAACCTGTTTTATAAAAGCTGTATACATTTTCTTGGTGTTTATACCACAGTTTAGGAATATACCAAAAATCATTTATAGCTAACATAAAGACTTGAACAAGAAAATGGAATATTGAAACAATTTTTAATCAACTGACTATTTGGGGAATTTTTTTCTTCTTATTTCAGTTGTATAATCATTTAGAAGAAACACCTTGTTCTATTTATTTAAGACCTGCTTCTTTTTGTTTAAAAAAAACAACAACACTCTTTTAGCAACTATCTGGATAATATTTTGAAAACTGAGATCAAGTTGTTTATGAAGAGATACAAAACAAGACACATATCATCCAGAAGATGTTTGCAGTGAACTAAACAGGTGAAAGGAAAAGAAACTTAGCTAATAGAAGTTGGTTACAAATTCAAGTGGTAACCAGGAAATAAAATAACATTGTGGTAAAGAACTTAAGAGTTATATATTTAAAGCTCTGCAAATGCATTTTTTTTTTCTTCAGGTGATGGGTAGAAATTTTATCCTTTTTATTTTGGTTTTGCAAGAACCTAGACTTCAAATCTCACCCTTATGTTGGTACCTGTTTTTTGTGTGGACATTTGTAGAGGTTATTCGGTAAGATTCGCTGCCTTCATTTTATTTTTAACTCTCATGGAAAAAAATTGTTATGCTATTGTAAGTTTTACATTATTCTTTTGTATGAAGATATTTCAGAATCATTTAAGAACTTTTATCAAATTCTACTATAGTAGTGATTAAATTAAAATTATTTCATTTTACTTTTATGTAATGAATGTGTTCATGAAAATCTTTTTTTTTTCCAGTTATCCGTTTTACATGTTCCAGCTGGTGAATTTTGAGATCAAATATTTAACATGGCTTCGTTATAACATCTGGATAGTTCTATATCCCTTAGGCATAGTCATTGAAGGTAATTTATGTTAGCAATTAAATGTCTAAATATATTATGAAGGTGTACTGCATTAGATTTTAAAATAGCTTTACATATGAGTTGCATATTACAAGCAGATTGTGAAACTGAAAAAAAAAATGCAGGATTATATTTCGAATGAAACTTCAGAATGCATGCCATATATTTTTCTTTCTACAAAATCGATCTTAAAACAAAGAAAAGAAGTGGCCCCCATATAATGTGAAAATTAATGTTCATGAAAGCAAAGGTGATGATTATTTAGAACAAGGCAATCATATTTCATGAGCAGTGTAGTTTCATAATCTGCTTGTATCTTGTATGCAATTTTTGAATTATGTAGCCTTTCAATTGCTCATTGATTTACATAATATTATGAAGTAGTTAGATTGATAAAATATCTTTCTTTTGCAGCTACCATCGTATTCCAGTCAATTGGATATTTTTCTGAGACGGGTTTCTTTAGTGTTGCTCTACCAAACTGTTCGAACTTTGCATTTTATTTTCCTTACTTCCTGATGATGTATCTTGTTGCTCTCTGCTTTGGTAAGCTTTTAATTTTAATGATAGTGTCCTTTTCAACTTTTAGCAGAGCTCTGACTTTTTCATTAGTCGTCAGTTAAAATTTTTTAATGTATTTTCTGCAGACAGCATTACTTATATTTTTGCACTCATCTGAAATTTTTTTTATTTGAGATGAAAACTGCACTGGAGAGTAATTAACATGCAAATTTCCTTTTAGTTTTATTGTCTATTTTTGGTTAAGAGTATATTTACATTATTTAGCAGCATCATTCATAATTAGAAACAAGTTGACATTTTCTTTGCGAACTTTTTTTAGCAGATTCATTCCAGGTCTTGGTGACTTGCTTCTGTGTAGGACTACCATAGCATAGAATTTCAAGTTATTAATTCTGTATAAAAAAAATCTTTGCCAATAAACACATTCCTAATGAATTTTATTTCTATACAGGTTCAACAAACAATCTGAAGTATATGTACATTCAAAGAAAAAAGCAACTCTCAGGTGTTAAAGTCCAGTCATCTAAAGCAAAATCATCTTAGATTCATTTTATATAATTTTTTTTAAGGGTCTCAATAATTTAGTAATTATGAGTACAAAGCTGTCATACTTATTTTCACCAGTGTATAATATATGAATTTATTTTATTAATAATTTTCCATAAACTTTTCCAATGAAATTAAAAAGGAATGGTTATATTTAAATATGTAATAGGCATTATTAAATGATTATTTATAAAATGTTTCTGTTATAAAAGAAATGTTTCAATGACTTTGAATTTGATACAGAGTAATTTTGTTTACGGTACTGAAAATGATGTCCTAATTGAAGCCAGGTATCATCTATTAAATAACAGATAAGTTTCCTAAAATAAAGATACTGATTAGTTTCCTCCATCAGACCAGTATAAAAGTGTAAAGTTCTTATTTTAATTTTTTTCTTCTTTGTATAGTTTCATTAAATCCCAGCAATGTATTTACAAATTTAAGTAATTTTAAGCCAATAAATATTTTTGTTTTTTGTTATTATTATATATCATAAATAACTTTTACATCTTATTTTAAAGACCAAATTTTGAATTAATTAAGGAACATTTTAAACTACACTCCCCATGGCTAGAGTTTTTTGTTTTTTCCTTCACCATGCATGGCAACACATTATACTTGATTTAGAATAAACAGAGTTTGATTTCTAGGTATGCATGAAAAAATGGAGAATGCTCTGGTGGTTTTTCCCAAATTTTTCAGCTTCATCAAAAAACTAAGGAAACTTTCCTCACATTACTGAAATACTGCATACACTGTTTTTTGAAAAGCAAACTGAACACAGTTATAGGCTAGGACTATTTACCATATTAAAAATGCTTGATGCTTATGGTTATGTTCTAGTTTTTTTTTTAAGGGCAGTGCTGCATTTGTAAATTATCAACATAATTCACATTTTCACCATCTAGAACAGAAAGCACTGTAATGTAAGAGCAGAGTATGCCTGTACTCTTTTGTTTAGTATTTCAGTTTTAAGGAGCTATTAATGCTTTACAAAGTGTTTTCTGTTAATTTTAAAATGTTTTAAATGTTTTAAACACTTGGTCCTAAAATATGTTATCCATTGTTCTTTTAGTTTAAAATTTAAATATTATCAGTTGCTTTTGTTCCTTTTACAAAAATTTAGAAGAAGAAAAATACTAAGTTTAAGGACATTGTTTCACTTTCTATTGATTCGAGTCTGCATTTGTAATTTTAAATGAGACAAAGTGTATGCTATGTTTTTGAATTACACATTCTCATTGAATCTGTATTGTCAGTGAAGGATTGTGAATAATACAGTGAAAGAAAACGTTTTGTTATTCAGACATTTTTTGAATTTTATTCCTTTATGTTGGTTTAATAAATTTTTACTATTGATGACAGGATCCATTACTTGTTTGTTTTATCAAATTCTATGTGAAAAACAAACTGATCATTCCCATTTTTAATATATTTATCTTGAAATCGTTTTAAACTCATAAACTTTATGCAAAATTTCAGAGGACAATAGTAATGTACAGTATTCTCTGATATTATCATTTTCTCATGAGAAAGTATATTTAAAGCTGAATTTTGAGTTGCCTGTGAAAACATTTGAGCACCCTTTGTTTATCTGTCCCCTGTTATTATAATTCTTCATTTGCTATTTAGACATCCTGAAACAAGCCATCTCTATTTTAATTGATAGAGAATGTAATGGAAATAGAACAAAAGTATAAATGAATCCTTTAAAGGGCTTGTATGTGAATATATGCAGTTTTTACCCTCAAGCACAGCTCAATGTTAATTCCTCTTCGTATCCTGAATATAATGTTTGAAAATCAAAATGGTAAATGGTATGTTGTCATCGTGTGATATTATTTAATACGGTACCTGAAAGTTAACTAAATAACTCCTTGTTGCGTCATTAAAAAAAAAAAGGATTTTCTGGCCCCTGACTTCTTTAATATTTTTTTTTCAATGCAAATTACTCTCATACCATCTTAATAATCTGACCATCAGTTTACTACTGGAAACAGCACAAGTGAGTTCACCATTAAATAGAATATAGAGAATCTTATGTTGTTTCATGACAAAAAAATCTCTTGCACAACATTTTATATTATTATTATTATTATTTAGGCATTTTTGTATAGCGTTTACCTTACAGCTCTAAGCGCTTTACAATTATTAAAAATATGTAAACTATTTAAACTGCTAAAGTAAAAGAAAAATGAAAAACCAGAGACACTAGAATAGTCACTACAATGTGAAAAATGACTATAAAAACAGTAGCTAAAACATTAAAATGGCTATAAAAACAAGTACACTTTGGCACGTTTTGGCATATACTTTGAAAAAAAACAACATAAATACAGGATCAACCCGAGACAGAAAATGAGGCAGGGCAAGGAGGGTGCATCACAGGTCACAGGCGGACCTAAACGGATGGGTTTTAAGGGACTTTTTGAAAGGGAACGAGGTTTCACAATGACGGATGTGGAAGGGGCGCTGGTTCCAGAACGTGGGCGCATGGAAGTAGAAGGAGCGTTCACCGATGATCTTAATTTTGGTTCTTGGGATTGAGAGGGTTCTGTTGTCAATGGAAGAGCGTAGTTGTCTTGTGGGGATGTAAGGAAGCAACAGTTCAGAGAGATAGACAGGAAAGTGAGGGTCAGTGAAAGAGTTGAAGCATAGATTGGCAGACTTGTACTTGATGCGAGAGGATATTGGAAGCCAGTGGAGTTGCCGCATGTGTGGTTGAATGTGGTCGTGTTTCTTTGATTTAATTTAAGAATGAGTCTGCATGCTGAGTTCTGTGCCTTTTGAAGTTTGTCTATGTGATGTTGAGGAATGCCTGCGAGAAGAGTGTTACAGTAGTCAAATTTTGAAAGAATGAGTGAAGAGACGAGAGTTTTTGTGGCATCAAAGTAGAGCGGGTGTCTCATGGTGGCATCAAAAGAGAGCAGGTGTCTAATTGTGGCATCAAAGGAGAGCAGGTGTCTAATGGTGGCATCAAAGGAGAGCAGGTGTCTCATGGTGGCATCAAAGGAGAGCAGGTGTCTCATGGTGGCATCAAAGGAGAGCGGGTGTCTCATGGTGCTGATTTTTCTAATTTCGTTGTTTTCTGAGCTGCAGATTTTCGTGACATGTTTGTCCATGGAGACTCCAAGGTTTCTGGCAGAGGAAGATAGTGTGAAGTCAGAGTTGCCGATAGATATAGAAGAAGGAGCGGATGGAGAGAGAGTGTTTTGAGAGTGGATGAGAAGGATTTCCGTTTAATCATCATTTAGCTTCAGTTTGTTGCAAGTCATCCAACGCTTTACATCGCCTACGCACTCCTGCATGCGAAGGATTTTGGCATCAAGATGATCAGGAAAGCAAGAGTCACTGATATGGATAATTAATTATTTGATCCAGAAACAGACATGTTAAATTTTTTATTTTGATGCATCAAAATTTAAGAAAAATATGGTTATCTTTGATTCCAGGAAAATTATAAATATGAGAATCCAAACGGATATTGCATCTCAGTAAAAAGCCCACATAGCAATAAATGTTCACATAGAAGAAAATGCAAAAACTCCGCATATGATTATTATGATGCAAAGATGTCTGCGTCGCATTTTGCGCATTCGTTGGCAGTACAGGGTGCCTAACGTGGAGGTTTTGGAGCGTGCACACATGTTTAGCATATTCTCCTTTCTTATCAAGAGACGCCTTCGCTGGTTAGGTCATGTACGGAGAATGGAGGAAGGACGTATCCCAAAGATGCTGCTGTATGGAGAGTTGGCAGAGGGGACAAGACTTATTGGAGACCGCACCTGAGATTTAAAGACGTTTGCAAACTAAGCATGAGGGAAGCCAATATTGTAACAAACGAATGGGAGTTCATTGCCGAACATCGCTCCAACTGGCGTACAGCAGTGTTTGAAGGAGTAAAAAAGGCAGAAGTTACTCGAAACGAGGCCCTCGAATCAAAAAAGAACAATTCGAAAATCAAGAATTTACCGGGACTCAATATTCTCCTGCGAGAGATGCGGCCGTGATTGCCATTCTAGGATTGGCCTAGTGAGCCACTCGTCAAAGTGTAGAACTATATAGCTACTACATCGTCTCACGAAGACGGAAGGATGCCATATTATATTAAATCTTATTTTAGACCCAAGCAATAACACCACATAATCACTGATCTTTTTTCCATTACCGGTACACGTATCAAGTTCATGATCTATTTTTGTCTATACATTACCTTTTTCCAATTGCTGCTACCCAGCATCAAATTTCAAATACCATAATTTATTATTTTATCTGGGCAGGTTGATGAGATAAATGGTAGCCTAATCTAATGATTGTTTTAGAGCAAATAAATATGTTAAATACATTATTAAAGCAATGTATTAAATCACTTTTACCAACTTTATTTTGTTTATTAACTTCTTAACAGTCGCAGTACCATATCATCTGGATTTTCTTTAGCAAATATTAAACATTTTAAATGAGGGTAGCTCACTAGCATCAAATGTACTGAAGACTTGTAGGTTTAAGTCATTATTATTGCTGTAACTAACGGTATTGTTAGTTTTGCAAGGGAGACAACCTTTGGAATAGAGATGCGATATTAGAATGTGTAATTGCGTCCCTTTTAAATTGTTCAACCAAATAAATAAATAAAACCTTTTTATAATTAAAAAAAAAAATTTCAATTAGTCGAAATGACTGAGCTTATTAAATATTTTTTCCTGAAAAGCCATTCAACAATATTTTGCAGATATGTTGGTTATTAAGCAATTTAATTTTTATTTGTTTCAATTCTTTGTAAACGAAACTGTTTTTAATACGTCACTTCCGGAAAAAATACATTTATATAAGCTTTGTTTTGTTGACAGAATTGGTGGAGACCGTAATGAGTCAACATGGGTGACTTCGGAAATGTTGTTATAGATTACTTAGATATGCGTTATTATACATAGATCTGATATATAATTATTTTCATTTGGATATTTCTTTGAAATGTAAGACATTACAAAGTTTTCTTAAGGTGGAATAAAGTTTATTATTATTTATAATTCACTTGAAGACAACGCCACCGTGACTGACAATTGACAGAATTAAATAAAACAGTCACCCCAACGGTGACACTGACCGCTCGGGTGACTACAGTCACACAGTCACAGAGTGACACAGTTGGCACTTAACCACAGGAATTCGAAATTCAAGAACCAAACTAAAATTATTAAAGTTAAAGCTTGTAGTCAGTACTTATTAGTTTGGCTTACCCTTTTTTATATTAAATATTGTATTCTTTTAGTTAAATAATCCAGTCCTTAGAATTAGAATTAGATTTGATGATTTGTCCAAGTCTAATTATTTCATTTAAGAAGTATAAAAGGCATTGAATGCCAACTCCTCCTACTATTAGCCCAAGTAAAAATTAAAGTACACAGTAATGATTACTTTACTGTTGGCCTTCTTAAATTTTATATTAATATTATAAATTTCCTTGGGCCTGCTTTTTTTTTAATGGAATAGTAAAATTTTGATTTATACCTATTTCTCATAAACATGACTGGGCTGATACTAGTGATACAATCACAAGTTAACCATTTACGGGCACACCTTTCTCTAACTCTAAACGGACATTTTTCCAGTTTTTAGTAAGATTTCGGGTTACGTTTTAGTAAGATTTCAGATCTAAGGTGTTGGTGAACAAATTTTAGTGAAGTAAAAACAGAATTAAAGGAAACTGAATGCAGATATAGGGATAGTATTTTACTCACATGTGAAATAAACAATCCAATGACAATGTTGCCAGTAATCCACACATGAATATAAATATTAACATAATACAACCACTCGTTTGTGATTGTCAGTCGTCTATACACTATTTACAAACAATCTGCCAAGAAGTGTGTATGCTGCTTACGTTGATAATATTAAATAATAATATTAATATCTAGCTCCGATTTATAGTCAATCTTGTGCATAACTGTGTCATTTAAATTGAACCCAGCGAAATCTACGCCAAAAGTCATGCAACGGCTCTGCCTATTGATATTTCCATGTAGAGAATAATCGGATGGTTTAAATTTTAAGAAATGAGAATATAGTTTAGAAAATCCAGTAATCTTTATTATAAATTTGAATGAAAATGATTAGTCATTCTTTACTAGGCCTACGCAATCTTTTATACAGTACTCTTATAAGGATTTAAATCAATCTCTTATAAGTTACACAATTTTCTAAAAAGAATGCTTTAGGTCTATTCGTATCTAAATAACTCATGCCAAAAAGAGTGGGCACAACTGGGGACAGCTGGAGAGATTTGCCCAAGACCGGGATGCCTGGAGAGCCTTTTGTTTGTGGCCTATGCCCCAAGCGAGATGACAGGCAATGATTATAATGAATGTGATAAAAGCCTACTAAATAATAATTTTCAAATTAACGTTGGTCATTTAAATATTTGGTACATG